AAAGAGTCTCTCAAAACTTGCCTCGTTCTTATGTTCCCTTCCCAGACATCTAGTACTGGCTTTTTGGAGAACTTAGGGCACCACATAAATATCTGCAACCCAGTGTGCCATTTCTCCTGTTGTTATAAAACAAAAGCCTCATTAGGGGAAGCCCCACAATTATCCCTCAAGCCTGATGTTACAGTGCTATCAGTTGTGTGGATAATTGCATGAGATCCATCTGGCCAGCTGGCTAAAGGAAGTCCATAGGAGAAGTTACAGTAAGTAGAGGTGAGAATCACTGAAAGAGTAATGGCCTTGTATTCCCTGCATAGCTTTGCATCTTGCCTCAGTCTGTTCTTAAAATACTCTTCTTCTCTAGTTCTTTCTTAAGTTCCTTTGAAAGAGATGTTTTTCCTCTGTAAAACTGTAAGGCAGTGGTTCTGGTGCTATTGTCTGTGTAGAACTGGTTGGGTGATACTCTGTATTTTCTTTCCTTGGTTTTAGTTAATAAATTGCATTAAAAAGGAGTAAAATACATTATAGTTTCATACTTATTTTCTTCATACTATTTTCTCCTGTTAGCTGCAGCTGAATTTCCCATAAGAATATGATGTCATCAGTGCTGGGTGGAGAGCTAGGCCGCTCTGATAGTAAGTGGGAAGAAGAGTGAGTCTCTGTGAAGATGTATTTTAGCTTGTTCACCAAAGTGACCTTTCCCTTATGAGCTTATACAAAATGAGAACCTGTTTCACAATATGTCACTGAGTAATAAACCCCCCCAACATATTAATCGATCAGAATGTAGCCTGCGATATGACAGTGCTCAAAATAATGTTGTAAATAAATAATCAAAGTCCTGTATTGTTTTATATTGCTTCATTTCTGCTGATGGAGTTCAGTTCAGGTGTCTGAATGTGCCTGGATTAAAGCTAAAGTGAAGAGTAATGAAAACTTATGAAGGAGCCTCCATTTTCACTGTTTCTAAAGAGACTAACCTAATATTTTACAGTTGTGCATTTCTTAGAGGTTTTATTTCCCCCCTTTGCAAGATGCTAAGTAGACCAGTGGGAACTGCTCAGAATTTGGTATTACCTTTTGCAAATGTAAGGAACAAAATGCCTGATGTTACCATGATCATTTGAGGGTGCTGAAGGAGAAATAACTTCGAAGGTGAAGGCTGACACAGTTGTAAGAAATTAACTTAGAAATTAGCAGTCTCATGGTTTAATAAACCAGGATATGATTGTTAATATTGCATGGCAAGAGTGCTGGTAACCACAGCCAAAAGTAAGAGCTTGCTTTATTTACATTTAATGTCATTTACATTAAAGATTGGGACAAAGCCCTCTATGCCCTGGAGACAGAGGGAGTCCCAGTTCTGACTTCAGTGGAGTTAGGACTTCAATTTGGGTTTCTCAGGCAGACAAACAAAGAGCTGAGGTTACTTCTGTATAAAATAATTCCCAGTCCTCATTTTCCTTTCTTTCCTTTCCGACCTCTTCTGACTTGTTTCTTTTTTTTTAAATTTTGATTCTATTTTTCTTCAGCAAGAACTTGTTTTAACACAGAAAACATTACTTTTATATTTTCTTTCTTATTTGGAAGGCAGAAGTTGTAACAAAATAAAATGAAGTAATTGTAGAATGAAAGGAGGAAGAACAGGAAATGTGAAGAAAATTAAGAAGCAGTGTCCAAACCTGCTATATCTGAAGTCAGTGGCAAAACTGTTGTTAGATTGCAATAAATTACTTAAAAGAATGTGTGCCTCTTCGTTGCAGGTGGATCTCACACGGACCTTCACCTTCCGCAACTCCAAGCAGACGTACACAGGAATTCCCATCATAGTGGCAAACATGGACACAGTGGGGACATTTGAAATGGCTGTGGTTATGGCAAAAGTAAGTCTTGATTCTCATTTCTCCAACAATTGGGAAGCTGCTGGGTGACATTGAGCAGCCTTTGTTAGTTAATCTATGTTTGTTGGAAAACAGGGGGGCATGAGTTAAAAAAATCCAGAAGGAGAAGCTGTGGTTTCACTGCAAGGCAGCTGTGCTTTTACAGCAATACAGTCACCAGAGACAGGGCTCCAGGTAGATAGTTTCAGTGGAGGTGCTTACTGGGAAGCTTCCATCTTGGCTGTAGCTCAGCTTCAGGTGGAACTTCTGGAGCTTAATTTTTGAGGTCTATATCATGCTCCCTTCCAGAAAAAAAAACAACCCAAAAAACTAGCTGACAGTGGTTTTGGGAGTGTAGATTACTGGCTAAAGCTGCAGCATTCAGGAGTCACTAGTTAATTAGCCTCTGGTCTCAAGGCTCACCTTAATTTCTTTCAGTGCTTAAGCATATTCAAAATATTGACTGTAAATTCAAGAAACACATGAGAAACCTGGTCCTGAAAGGTTGGCTAGGTATGCTCAGTTACCTTTGCAGAGCCATGTGGAGTTATCTGGTCTGTTATTCACTGTTACTGTTCCTTTTGAGCAGGATGAGCCTATACTTAAGATGGGAATTTCTGATATCTTGTTATTCTGCAGCTGAGGGAGAGATGACTAACTTGGACATTAATATCAGTTTTCTTATTTTTGTTAGCATGCGATGTTCACTGCAATTCACAAGCATTATTCTCTGGAAGAATGGAAACTGTTCGCTGCCAATCACCCAGAATGCCTTGAGGTACATTTTCATACTGTAAATTATTATGGTTTATTGCTTTGTTCTGAACTCACATACGCTGGAGTCTCTTGGGAATACTGTTGTCAAGTGAGGTTTTGGGGAATGAAGATATTTGCTGTTCTTAAATGCATCAAGGGAAGTGGCTTGTCCTGGTTTAAAAATAATAGCTATGTGAGTCCATTATGAAAGTGCTTATATTACAGTGTGAAAAAGCAAAGTTTATATATGCCTGGAATGGAAACAGAGAAGTATCCTGAACAAGGAAGAAGAAATTATTTGGGAATAGCTCTAACTGTTGTGCTTCTGTTGCTGTTGGGGGCTGTGGGAGTGCTGGTGAGGGAGAAGCCCAAGACCACACATGTGAATAGCCTTGAGTAATCAAACCACAAGCTGGCCCTGCATGCCGTTGTGCTAGGCAAGGTCTTTGCTATCAGGTGTGCAAGTGGACCTGGAGCCCTTCTGGGGCTCATCCCAAGCAGGGATGAGCATTGAAAGTTGTCAGAGCATATATGTCTGCCATTTATCTACTCACACTGTACTACTGCTAGCTGTGCTGCCTCACTTGTTCACGGGGTCCTAGCCTCAGCCATTACAGAGAAACACCATTTAGTAAATTTAAACATTGATTTAAGTTCCAGCTTTTTTGTACCCAGGTTTCTCCAGTGTTCTCCTGGCAGGCACCTAGATCAGGAGAGGCAGTGTAAGAGCATGCCTGGCTGTCTCCTCTCCTCCTTGGAGTTAGTGCAGTTTTGAAACTTTTTTCTGTATGGTAAAGAATACCACACAGTTGTATTGTATATTTACCTGTGGCACATTTTAGAATTATATTATAAAGACTATTGATTACAGGACTGTCTGAAAGCCAGACTATCACTTAGTTCATCAGGTTGCCTATATGCCATTATAGAGTAGAAAGTGGTCCCAGCAATATCCTGTGTCCGAACACTTTGGCACTTAGCTTATTTGTGGTTCATAATCACTGGAGTAGGATCTCCTAGTGATTAAATACTGACTTGCTCTGTGACCTTGGATCTCTGCAGAGGTTTTGTGGGCCAGCAGCTGGAGAAACTGTTTTTCTATTGGAAAGAACTCATAGGAAGACAAAGGGAGAAGAAATCTACTTGTTTGCAATGGTAGCTGACCCTGCTTGAGCAAGGGGGTTGGGCTGCACAATCTGCAGAGGCCCCTTCCAAATTCAACTGTTCTGTGATTCCGTAGATCAGGGGGAGTGTTTTGTGAACTTAAAGATCTAGATTCCATTCTCTGACAGTGCCTCAAATTTTGCCACTCTGCCTTCCTGGAAATATACCAAGTTAGGGCTTCTACTGTGTTTATGTCAGTATAAGTACAGCTAAGCCCTCATCCATCTCATGTGATTGTATTTCCCTATAAGAATCTACTATGAGAATGAAGAGCTGATAAAATGCTAATTTTGCTTTACTTCAGAGCCTTTAAATGAAACAAAAGTAACACATTGATATTCCCAGGAAGGTATTTATTATATAGTATGATTTTCACTAGTTTCCAGCACAAGTCCTCCCAAGACTATACAGAAAAAGATGTACAAAGTGTGTTTATCCTGGTTTTTACAAACTACTATTCCCTTTTGTTCTCCTTGTCTTTCTAGCATGTAGCAGCAAGCTCAGGTAGTGGAAAAGCTGATTTGGACAAGTTAACAAGTATTCTAGAGGCCATTCCACTTATCAGATACATCTGCCTGGATGTGGCAAACGGCTATTCAGAGCACTTTGTGGAGTTTGTGAAGTCTGTCCGTGCCCTATTCCCACATCACACCATTATGGTAAGTGTGTAGAAAGGGTGGGAATTTTGTGCAGGAACAGAGCCCAGAGTTTGGTTGGTAGGCATCAGAAGCTCTGTGGTAGCTCCATCAATTTGAGTCTTCATTTAAAAAAAGGAAAGAAAGACAGAAAATTAAAAAGTCTGACTCAAACCTCTTATCTTACACACAAATACATGTGGACAGATACACTTCTGAGAATATAGAGGGGACCTCTGTTCATCAACCCTTTCAATTCAGCAAGATGTTGACTCTGAGCCAAATGATGACCGTTTAATAACACGTTGGCATCGTCAGTCTTCCATCGCTGATAATTCCTGTGGGAATGTTCAGTGTATGCTCTGATACAGCAGTTTGATGTTGCTATAACAGGCTGGGTAAATCCAATTTTTTTCCTACTCACATCCTCCTTCCCACACCAGATGTGACCTCTAATCATAAGGTTTTATTTTGGTGATTCCAAGCTGAGGTTTGCTGTGGGAAGGCACCGACATTTCTGGCCAGTTGCATCCAATGGCTGTTTCCATCTCTTAGATCACTATGAAGACAGCTGAATGTAGACTGATCCTTGCCTATGAATCATAGGGATGTTTGTGAACAGGGTCATCAGGGAGAAAAATAGTCAATGCACCTTCTGTGATGTTACTGTCCCTTCTCAGAGCGCTAATGCCATGCCTCCTCCAGCACTTTTGCACCAAGAGTCGAGTGTTTGCATCAACATGGGACTCATTGCAGCAGAGCCCTACTGCTCCTGCTTGTTTCCCAGGGCCCTTGAAGAAATGGGTCTGAATTTGTTTCCATGAGAATAGCAAAAGTTCTCAAATAAGCAGCAGATTCTTAATGAGGCTACCGGTCTTTCTTCAAGCCAGTGCAGCAAAAAAATCATGTGTGTAGACAACACTTTCTTACTTTTTCATGCCAGACACAAAGCTGCTCACATGGAAAGTAAAAGTGAAGTAGAAATGGTCACAGATGCACACTCTGACTTGGTTCAGTAGGGACCTGCACATTCGAGCAGCTCGGGGAAAGCTACATTCCTTCCTCCCATGTTGAAGGAAGTCAGTGTTCTGGCCTCTGAATGATGATGGCATTGGAAAATAGAGGTGGGCTGGAATGCTTGTGGGCTTCTGGGATGCCATAGGCTATTGAATAGGCATCCTTCAGCAGCTACCAGCAGATGTGGGAACCTTTTTGGTATGGCTGTATTTCCCATGGCTTTGGGGAGAGCTTTTGGAAGTATGAAATGATAGATGTGAGCTTTTTGAGCTTCCTGCTCTGTGTTCACTGCAGTGAGGGAAGGAGCTGCTTCTCTGCTTTGAATTTGAAGTATTGTCCCTAGTGACGTGATTACTCCAGTGTCTTTGGCCTGAACAGTTGTGGGAGGGAGCTGAAAACACATAGTTAAAAAAACCTTCCCTATCAGGAATGGAAATAAAATTGTGTATCATCCCCTCCTCCACCTCCACACAGACTGCTGACTTTGCTGACTGAGGAGGGAACTCAACCAAGAGAATCGCCCAGGAGGCACAGGAGGTCATTGACAAAGTCAGGTATCAAGCCCAGATTTTAGTCCAAGGTCCATAATCCAGTTTTATTCATCTCCCACATCTATTAAGCTACCTGCTTATTTTCTCTGCTTCTGTGACTAAGGTTATAGTTTCTTCAAGTCTCATTGTCCTGAAAGCACCACCTGCTTGAGCACATACACGGCCCTGACCTGTTCAGTTGCCTTCCCTGTAGCTCCTTTCTCTGAACATGGTTTAGTACGGCTCGTGTTTTTAATCTCCTGCACAAGGACAATTTCCATTCCTAAAAGCATGCTAACAAACTTGAGGTATTCAAAAAAACTTCTGTTTTCCAAAATGTCCAGAGTCTGTGCAGTCCCTGAAACTCTCTGATTCAACTAGGGACACACACTTCTACCCCACTTCCAGACGAGTTTACTTTACACTCTGTGCCAAAGTGGCCTTTTGAAGCTATTCCTGGCTGAAATGCAGGAGCTCGTCTAGGTTTCTCTTTATGATACTCTGGAAGACATGTCCTGCTGCTGCCTGTTCTGTCTGCTTTGATGTCTCTGTGCTATGCCTGCAGTATGCTCTCTGCTGTTGTGGCTTTCAAACAAAAGGTTTAGTAGTTAAACAGAAGGTATAAAAATAAAGAAGCTTTCTCATAACTGAAAGTGATCTCCAGGACCTCGCAGGCTGTCTTGTTTGCTTTCCTCAGCATGACCATTCATTCCACAGTCAGCTGTGGTGCAGTACATAACAGTGACCCAGCCCGGGGTCTCAGGGAATGTGTGTTCCCAGGGGCCAGGGAATGGGTTCAGCTCTCAGGCTGAAAGGTGAAGCACAGAGCAACTGTGGTTAACACAGTGTACTCTGTGGCTGATACTCCAGTGCAGATGGAGGATGGCTCTTGTGTAACAACCTTTCAAAGATGTGTTTTTGCCTTTTTCAATACTTGCTTTTATAATCACATTACCTTATTTTCTTCTGCCTGGCTCTGACACAAGCTCTTTTCACTCCTGCCTTTCATACTAATTTACAAAGAAGATCAATTTCTTCATGGAACACAAAGGACAGAGAAGGCAAACAGAGGCACAAAGGTACAACATGACTTACCTCGATCACTCATTAGATTGAGTGTGGAGGAAGAAGCAGTATTCAAGTTCCCTGGGTGTCTCACAAATGCAGCACTGACCCCCAGAATCAAGAGTAGTGGTCCAGTGGGGTGTTTTGCTGTGGCACAGCATCATGTGCTCAGATTGTGCCTAGTTAGAATCACAGAATCATGGAATGGTTTGGGTTGGAAGGGACCTTAAAGAACATCCAGTTCCAACCCCCGTGCCATCAGCAGGGACACCTTCCACTAGACCAGGTTGCTCAAAGCCTCATCCAGCCTGGCTTTCAACACTTCCAGGGACGGGGCATCTACAATTTCCTTGGGCAACCTGTTCCAGTGTCCGACTACCCTCACAGTGGAGAACTTCTTCCTAATATCTAATCTAAACCTCCCCTCTTTCAGTTTAAACCCATTTCCCCTTGTTCTGTCATTAACTGCCCTTATAAAATACTTGCTGAAGTCTAAAGCAAAACTTAAGTTCACATTCATGATGGAAGGTCAGAGCCTTTATATTACAGATATCATAGTTATTATTTATTAATATAATTGTAGACATTAAGGTTCTTCCATTTCACTGGAAGTCTGTTTAGCAAGCTAAGACAGCTTTGCCAAGTTTTTATCCTGAATTTTTCTTTTCACAGGGTTCTATGTTTTTTATACAGAAGAAGCCCTAGGAAAGAGAGCAAGGGAGTGTGGCAGGAAGGCAAAGGCTGATGCAGGAGCACACTTACAGATGCAGTAGCACCCACAAGATGTGGGCCAGAGAGGGAGGCAAGTGGAATCACAAAGCAGGAGCAGAAGGAAACAGCAGGGGTCAGAAACTGTTGCTCCCCTTGGAGTTGGTAGCAGAACTTCACAGCACCTTAATGGAGGCAGAATTCAGTCAGAGAACGCCATGCAGACTGCTCCCAGTTTATCTCCAGAACAAGCAGCAGGGTCAGTGCAGTCATGTTGTGTCCACCAGGACAGGGGTCTCAGAGCAGGAGCCAGCTGGGATCCCGGGGTAGGAGACAGTGATGCTTCCAAGGCTGTTTTGGGTCAGTCACAATACTGGGTGCAAACACCTGCGTGATACGGCTCAGCCTCACACAGGGCATCATCTCTCCATCTTATGGTAAAGCACCCCTTGCTTTGGTGGGTGGGAAGTGTCCTTTGGCAGTGTTCCTGATCGTGTGGAGGCACAGACTGTGCTTTCCTCTAGGATACAAGAAGAAAGTTTGAGAACTGTTGTCACAGACACTTCTCCCCAGCTTGATCCATTGCCATTTGCCAGCAGCTTTCAATCAGTGCAGCAGTGTTCCTGTCTTAGTGTGAGTCGGTATTTATAGCAGGCTTTTATGAGGCACAGTATCAAATGCCTGACTGAAATTCTGCCCTACTGTGTTCACTAATTTTGTATCTCTGTCAGAGAAGCTGTAGCCTTTATAATCCTGTTAGGTGAAATCTTCATCCCATTAAAGTCAGTAGTGAAGCTCCCTTTGACTTTTCTGAGGCCAGGATTTCCCTCAGGATTGACCCACATTTCAGTCATCCCTTGATAGTGCTGGAATGAGCCAGGGTGATGCTCACGTGGAACCTCACACTGAGGGATGGTGGGGCTGAATGTCACCCAGCCCACAGCCAGGGTGGTTTGTTGTAGCCCCTGACAACTGAGTGCACTGAAAGCACAACAGTTACCTGACTTTCAGTTGTTACTGATGCTGTTTATTTTACTGACAGGGGTAGCAAAATTAGATTAGCAGTAAGGGAATTACTGGGCTATATCTCCTTCGAGAAAGCCAGCTCTGCAGCAGATTAGAAACACATTGATACATGGGCTCATCATTAAGATGAGCACGGTTTGCACTAACACAGTACTGCCACCAATTAGTATCTTCCCTCACTATTTGCCCAAATACACTGCAGAATGTTACTGTCTGTAGTGGCTTCTCCATACAAGTTCCAATTACTTTACTTGCTTTATATTCTTAGTTAATTTTAAGGGAGTTTCATCTCTGTAGTCTCAGTCTTTCTATATTCACCTTTTCTGATTTTTTATTTTTTTAGTTGAATTATTCTGACTTTATCTCACAGGTGGGGCTTTCAAAAGCCCTTTTGCTTCTATTCAGGTGTCATAGTGGCATCAGTGGTAAAGCAAACATTGGTTTCAGTGGGAATAGAGTTCAGCTGGATGTGAGAAAACAGCTTTCCCTGCTTTTCAGATGTGATATTAGGGTCTCTTGATATACAGCTAGCTGTGCCTCTCTAGCCATGGTTTTTTCTGCTCTCTGAGGTCTGCAGAAGGTACCCAAAAGAAGCAAGCCTGTCATCAGCAGGTTGAAGTCCTATGTAGAGTTCCACATCTTCCCTGAAATTTTGTTAAGGATCTGCAGATTCAGAAA